GCTGATCGACCTAGTGCACAACTGGAACCTAGCCATACATGCGAAAAATGCTGCATCCTACAGATTGGCGGTTATAAACAACTTTGCGTACTAATAACTAGACTTGCAACCCACACAGGACGAGCTGGTATCGTTGTTGCAAACAAAATATACCGTGCCATAAAGAGATTCATCTCTCGAATGACACCGAAGGCTATCAGGTTCCTGTCCACTTCTCACGTGTGGTCGATTCTATAGTATAGCTTCCCGGTTGCATTCTCTCTCTAAGCTTGAAGATGCACTGATCGAAAAGGTCCGGAGATGTGGCGCTAAGTCTGAATTTCAGCTTCCTGCTTCTCTTTACGCCCTCCATAGATTACCGTCGCTGTCCTGGAGATCTTGTCTTTACCAGGCGTATACTAAAAGATGCCCTTGGGAATAGACTGCAACGGCCTTCCTGGCTAAACAGGCGGCTTGACACGAGGTCATCAGATGTTGTTCACAGAGAGGAAGATCAAACTCCGCCCGCTGTCGCCTCGAGAAATGAATGACCGGAAACGCCTACAGGAGACTGTTTCCGATGCGCCAACCGGGGAAGTTTCAAGTGACTCCTAGAAACCCACCTGCATAAGGCACTAGACCCGTGATCATATACTGCGATTGCTCTGGTCCGCTGAAGACTACCACGTCGCGATATACGGGCTATTAGTGCTGAACTGGTGTCGAAGCTAACATGGGAACTGCCTTGTCCTTCACTACGCAATAAACTCAATGAAATACCTCTCGCGTACTTCACATGATCGGGGCAGCAGAGACTACTGGTGCAGGGAAAGTGGGCAGTGATTGGTTGACCAGAGTGTGGTTCGGGTGTTTCGTTTTGGATTTAGCAAAATCCCAAAGCAAGTTATCAAGTCCAGGTGCAACGACCTGCTCAAGAAGGAACACTCTTGGTATTTTATTACCCTTCCAGCTCTACCTGAAATTGAAACTAAAAAACAAAACCTTATGATCCTCCCAACCACCCGTGTTGCCCAGATTGGATGGAATGCAAATGATCGCGGGCCCGTGGTACGAGCTAGAGATGCCTTCGCATCGGGAGACTATCATACAGCGGAAGAGTCGTTATATGATAGCTTCAGGTGGGAAAATTAGCAGGATGTGGATTCATTAGATAGCCAAGATTAGTTCTGACGAGTTGACGCAATGAGGCTGCACCTTACCGTGGTGCGATGGTTTGCGTGCCTCAGAGATCCATTGAGCTATACTGGGTGGTGCTTTTGCACCTTCAGAGCCACTCATACCAGATTGGTCAATGGTTAGAGGCCAGACAAACTCAGCCTCCTGGTCCTCCAGGTTGGGGGTGGCTTCTCATTTCATAAAACGGGCTCCTCAGTCCAGTGCCAAAACCCGCTGCCTTGCGGTAAGGTTTTTGAACCAGAGGCTTTGGTTGAGAACCCTGATCGTTCTCCTGTCTAGGCCTGGGCAACCTGACAGTATTCTGCCCACGCAATACAGTGAAACTTTCCTACAACAATTTCTTGATGCCCTGGCCACCGCAGAGGATAATCAACGGTGCCCTATCTGCTGCATCGAGCAGGGTGGATACGGGTATGGATGCTACTGCTCAGGCCTTCCCGTCTTCTTATACCCCTTCTTGCGCTTCTTCATCCTTATCGTCCCGCTCCAACTTTACTTATATCCCCCCATTTTCAATCCCCCAATTCTTGGCCCTCCCCTAGCTTTCTTCAGTAGTCGCTTGTCTTCTAATTTCAAATCACACATAATCGCAAGGCCTTGCTCCAATCCAGTTGAAAAATCCATGTTCAAGCAAGCGGACAACGTCAGTTCATCCGTTTCCCTTTGGAGTCCTCGCGTCTCGCTAAGACTGGCATGCCTCAACGTGCGCACTTTGCTGCAGATTGGCCAACACGCAGCACTTGCCAGCACACTAGAGACCCTATCGATCGATATTTGCTGTTTATCAGAAACCCGCCTGCAAGATTCGAGCTCCGTACTTACCCTGAGTTCCCCACATGCGACACTGACGGCACATTCTCATTGCGCCTGTCTGGCGATGATGCAGCTTCAAATGCCGGTCAAGCTGGCGTCGGCATTGTTTTGAGTCCCCGGGCTGAAGCTGCCCTGATTGATTGGATCCCAGTAAACAGTAGGATGTGCGCCGTTAGATTAGCTGGTTCGTTCCGTGCTACGAAGTCGCGAGGGGACAAACGGTGCCTGTTTGTCATTGCGGCTTACGCCCCTACAAACTGTAGCACTGATCCGGTAAAAGATGATTTCTATCAGCAACTTTACGAGCTCCTTCGTTACAGAAGAAGCACGGATACTGTGGTGTTGGCTGGCGATCTAAACGCCCAAGTCGGAAAATTGTCCTCTGATGAGTTTCATCTGGGCGGCCAACATGGTGTAGGCTCCCGTAATGATAATGGTGAGCGATTGCTACATCTGTGTGAAGATGCTCGCCTCTTTCTCGCGAGCACTAACTTTCGACACAGCACCCGCAGAAGCGTGACTTGGCGGCCATCAGCCTCGGGCCAACCATGGACACAAATCGATCATATCGCGATCAGTTACCGCTGGAGAGGCTGCGTCCAGAACTGTCGCTCGATTTGGAGCAACAGCGTGGACTCTGACCACGCACTTGTCTGTGCCGACCTCCGGGTGCGTTTCGGTGAACGTCCGCAACGTCGATGTGAACGGATTGACACCAGCCAGCTGGCGAAGCCAGATGTTCTGAATGTATACCATAGTGCGCTGACATCTGGGCTGGGTAAGCGCCCACTAAACACCGTTGAAGATCCCTGGTCGCATATTCGTCAAACGTTACTGTCAGCAGGCATGTCTTCATGTGGCAAAGCAAACTGCCAAACCGGACATTGGGTCTCTACATAGTCTATGGAACTTATGGATGCTCGCCGAGGTATTCCGGTTGGAAGCGAATACAATGAAGCTCGCAAAAATCTCAGAGAAAAACTACGTGGTAGCTTGAAAAAGGACCGCGAAACCTGGTGGTCTCATCGTGCCTCTGAGATGGAAACAGCCGCTGCCGTGGGTAATCATCGTAAGTTATTCCGTCTGATACGGGAAACAGACAGCAGGAGACCTGGTGTTAGCGAGACCATACGCGACGAGAGTGGGCAGCCGATCCACAGCTTGTCGAAACGCTTGGACCGTTGGGCTGAACACTTTGCAAGGCAATTTAACAAACCTGAGTTATCGCTTTCTTCTTTGGGCATTGAGCACCCTTCTCCTTGGGCCGTCTCCTCGGATCCGCCCTCACGCGCGGAGGTCGAACGTGAGATCCGGCTTTTGAAATTGCATAAGGTCTCAGGAGCAGATAAAATTCCCCCAGCCCTCTTCAAATTCGGGGGACCTGCTACAGTAGATGATCTACACGAGTTGTTAGTAAAACTTTGGGAGCAGGAGACATTTCCGACAGACTGGTACCGCTCCGTCATTGTCCCCATTATCAAGGGAGGCGCTCGTTTGGAATGTGGCAATCATAGAGGGATCAGTCTGATTTCGACTGCCTCTAAATTACTTGCCTCTGTCATTCTCCACAGATTGACTAGCACTCGTGAAAGCCAGATTCGTGAAGAGCAAGCCGGATTTCGTCGAGGTCGGGGCTGCACCGACCACATTTTCACATTGCGTCAAGTGTTGGAGCACCGCCATGTTTATTGGCGACCCACCGTTGTTGTTTCTTGACATAAAAGGAGCCATCGACTCAGTCGATCGATGTGCCCTTTGGGACTGTCTGCTGAGGAAAGGTGTGCCTGATAAATATGTAAACATTATCAAAGCGCTGTACGCGCATATTTCGGGCAGGGTGAGGGTTTATGGCAAACTCTCGCCACCCTTCAGTATCACCAGCGGTGTGAGACAAGGATGCCCGCTGTCACCTTTCCTCTTCAACTTCGCTATTGATGAAGTCATAGAAACAGCGTTCGCTGGACACGACCTAGATGGTGTGGAGCTACTTCCTGGTGAGCGACTTCTTGACTTGGAGTATGAGGACGATATTGCCCTAATCTGTGACAGCCCCCAAACATGCCAAACAGCAATGGACCGATTAGCACTGGCTGTCAATCGTTATGGGCTATGCTTTGCTCCATTGAAGTGCAAAGTACTTCTCCAAGATTGGCAGGGACCCAACCCTGCGCTAACGCTTGGTGGTAATCTGCTAGAAGTCGTTCTGGAATTCAAGTACCTGGGCAGCTATATTAGCACCCGTGGGATTGAAGATGAGGTTACGAACCGCATAGCAAAAGCTCGAGGTGCTTTTGCCAATCTCCGCCACCTGTGGCGTAGACGCGACATTACTCTCGCCCTGAAAGGCAGAGTTTACAACGCAGCCGTCCGTTCTACTCTCTTATATGGTTGTGAAACCTGGCCCATCAGCTCGACTGACATGAAGAGGCTCGTCACATTCGGTCATCGCTGCCTTCGCAGCTTAGCTCATGTCTGGTGGGAACACCGCGTGAGCAATGAACGTGTTCGATGTCGCGTATATGGTGCAGGACGAGCGAGTGAACCGCTCAGCACCATTATATCACGCACCAGGCTCCGATGGCTGGGCCACGTGTTGCGCATGCCAGCACACCGACTCCCGCGACGTGCATTGTTTGCGCGTTATGGGTGCGGTTGGAAGAGGAGGAGGAGAGGCCAAGTGATGACTTGGTCGAGAGAAATGAAAACCCTCACTTCGAAGTTGGCGTCGGTTGGTGCATCCCGACCGCCTGGCTGGGGTCCTAAGGACGGTGAACGCGTTTGGTTGGACACACTTGCTGATATGGCTCGGAACCGGCACCAATGGCGTTTGTGTTGTGATTTCCTTTGTCCATCTCCTTCCTGTTTAGTATCCCCCTCCAATCACGATCTCACCTGTTAGGCATAATATGATTCTCTTTTTTACGGCAGCCAGCTGTTAGCTCTCCGGAACGATGTCCATCCGTTACTGGGGACTCAGCGGGTGTGCTACTGTTTTCTTTTTCTTTTCTTTTGTATTGCGGCACAGCTGAGGTGTTTATTACCTCCAGCTAACGTGTAATAATGATGATGATGATGACGCCGTAATACCCCGGCGAATGGCGCTAGCAAAAACTCGCTTTGAAAACCTATAAAAATAACAGAATGTTTTATTATTATAATACAAATTGAAATGTGGCTTATTAGGTTGCAAGCTTTTCATCGCCATTGACCACTTCGGATTGTTGTTCGACGACACCAGACAAGCCAGTCTGCAGCAAGTTGATTCGCGTGGAGAGCAACTTACCTCTTTAGAGCGTTCAAAGATGCTCCTAAATATTTTCCGTTCCTTTTCTTCGGCAGAACGGATGGCTGATTCGCACATTCGCAGATGATTGACTGCAGCGGAATTACTAGGATTGTTGGCCACAATGCGTCTAAAGTAGACCGCTGCATCCTCGTGATCCTTTCGGAGTAAGCAGGCCTAAAAAGTGAGACGTCGAGTCGGCGCTCACCTGACCAAGGCGGAATAAAGCTTTTTCGTTAGAAGCGTTCGACTCAAGGACTTTCTTGCACTTATCGGAACAGTTCTGAGCATCTCCCAGCTTGAGATAAACAAGAGCAAGATTAAGCCTAATGGCATTTATCACATCGTTTAAAGTCTTCTGGTCCGAGACTCCATTCGCCACTACATACTGAAGATCCGAATCCAAACGCTGGTATAGTGATATGGCGACATCGTATTTTGAGGCCTAAGTACAGGTTATTGAGCATGAAAGACTTGCCTTCAAGTAATCATTAGCTTTAAGCTTCAGCGACTCGGCGTAAGACATTTGCTCAGAGAACGTCGGTAAGGAGGATAGGTGTTTGACCTAAAGACGTCAATAACAAGTTGTGAGGTACCTTTTCGAAAGACCTCAGACGAAGCTCGTACAGAGTATCCCGCTCCCTCGTGACATCACCTGCCGATTTGGCAGTCTTCGTTGAAGGGTCAACTAATCTCACAAGCGCCCTCTCAGCAGTGTTCATGTGGCGCACGGCCAAGTCAATGCATTCAGGGATCTCGTTCACTGCTGGGTCGCCCACTGCATAAGACACGTCCCGGAAGTCTCCGCCTTCTGGATCATTGAACAACCGATAGCTTATTTCAGCCTCCAAGCCAACAGTTGGGTTGAGGAAATCTCTACCTTTCTCCAGGACTGATTTGAGGACAGTTCCGGTCTTGTCTGCACTAACATCCATTCCTAGGTAGAGATAAACATGGGTTAATCGAGTGATTACCCCGGGTATCAAACAGTTCAATTTCAAACTTCCGCGATTTCCCATCTTTGTACCCGTATTCCGGAGACGCAATCAACTCGCAGAGTTCACCGATTTTCATAGTCGCAACGCCGATATCCCATGCTTTAATGACCTCCCCTAGAGTTAAATAAGTTAAGCCAAATTCAGCAAACCATTTCCGATGGTGAACTCAAAAAACTCTCCACGTTCCCGACTGGAGTCAAATTGCTCACCGTCCTGATCGCCACCGTAGTAAGTCCCAACATAATGAACAGTAACTTTGTCGCCAGTGAAGGGCGACAGATCAGACGTCCCTTTCCGTAGAATCTTTTTCAATACTCCACGGTCTTTTTCATCGGTCAAATCCTCAAAGCAATCCAGTTCCTCGCTACCTCCAGAAGGCATGCCGACAGTCACAAATGGAAAAAGACTCCCGAAACTTCAGAGGCTACACGATAACAGGCAACGAACAGGGAAGACAAAAACAAATCCGCTCATATATGGCGTTGATTGACGCGGCTAAAAGAATTGTATTTTCGCGTATATGAAACGTTTTTGATAACAGCACAAAGCTTGCGCCAGATAATTATAAAAATCCGCCTTTTTATGTTGTTGTTTGAACGCGCGATAAAGTTAGGTCAAGTTCAAGTTCACTTGGGACCGGAACGATAGGATAATCCCGTGAATGTTCCTTCTTTTGCGTATCGTCATATCGGGAATTGACAGGCCTGCTTGAGGTGTTGAAAAGCCTAAAACAAAGACGGCATCACACCCTGTCCAACCCATTACTGCCCACATTTTCCTGCCAAACAGTCCTTGCCAGGCCGGTTTATGTGAAGTAAAAAAGTGAAGGGTAAGCTAAGAAAACAAGAGGAGGAATGTCTGCTAAATAATGATAATACCAAGGTGAGAAGGTCAGGTCAATATTCAATAACGACAGGCTCCCGCTTAACAGACTTTCTACCTCTTGTACCGGTAAGCGAAGCAGAGCCCCGTCAATTTGACATTTGCTTGCCTTAATTTGCCTCTGGAAAAACGAATGAAGCAAGCACGAGAGCAATCCACATTTTCGTACATCAGCATCCAATATCACTGCGCGAGGTCTCGTTGTTAAGGTGCAATAAAATCACCTTTGATCTGGAAAAGGATCTGAGCAGCACTTACCTAGAATACTTTTCTAAGTCACTACAACCGCATAGTCCACTAAGTCCGAAGGCGGTTTAGACCATTTATATATCACACAGTTCGTGAAAACTTTACACGTATTTCCAAACTTGCCAACACCACAGGACTGTCAGGAGTCCCGCGAGTGTCCCGCTTGCAGCGCCACAGTTTTCCCGATTTTTAAAGCTTTAAAAGTTCATTTATTGGTTTTATTGAGTTATACCTGGTAGAAGGGAATTCCCATCTTAGCTCCGTCGTCTCCAGACCAGCACGATGAGAAATCGTGTCCTAGCGACCCAACAGTCCTCAACTTACCAGGAAATTTGCAAAGGAACAGTGCTGTCCAGGCATCTTGCCTAGATGGGAAACCCAAATCTGCTTAGAACTTTCCCAAGCTTGTGCTCTGACGACGGTTTCTGGGAGGCTGTTCTAGTCGTTTGCCACTTGAGTAGAAAGAGCAACGGTGGAGCGGACTCGGAGCATCCCCCGGCTAAATACTTTCGTGTTGGGTCAGCTATGCTGTCGAACTGCCCCAGTTCATTTCTAAGTTCGCCTATTAGCATGCGCCTGGTAGAGATGGGTTCTCCACGGAGACGACAGTAGTCCAGTGAGAAGAGGTTCCGCTCTTGGAGTCTAAGAGGGTAGGGGAAATCCTGAAGTCCGAAAGCAAAGTTTGAGCCTCGTCTCTGTATCCTTTCTATTAGTGCAATACTAGCTTTTAAAAGGAAAACGAAGCCGGTAGATCGTACTCAAGAATAGGTCGTACGCGAGAGGTATCAAGTAGTCTGAAGATTTTTGGTGTCCTCCCAGAGAAAGATCTTCTCATGGCTTAACACTCTGTTGGCGGCGGCCACTCTTTGACGTGTCCTGGGTGGTGTTTAGGTCACAGGGAATTGATCCACCTGTCCTTCCCCTGGCTGTATTCTTGAGGAGGAAACCACTAATACGGTAGTTGCCAAGCGGACCAGGCCTACCAATCGGTAGGACCAATTTGACAAAATTTGCAGATAAAGCACACTTGGTGGATCAGTCGTGTAGTAGATCCAGCCTGACCTGCAGTTTATCAGTAGTATCGACGTCCGATTACTCCGACCACAGCTTGAGGTCATCAGGACAAAGTTGGCATCAAGGTTGAAAGATTTCGGCTATATCGGTGATGACCAGCTTCGGGTCCGAGGACGGATCCTAGCGGGACCCTGCTAGTCATTAATCCTGGCTGCGAAATGGTTTCATTCATTGGCACCTGCATGGTGCTGTCTCCCAAGAAGTGGGTGATCCACGGGTATAGACGGCCGATGATACTAACTTCTCGGAGTTTTACAGCAATGCTTGGTTTGGCATGATTCAGATTCAGATTCAGATTCAGATGGACTGGAACGATAGGAAAATCCCTTGAGTGTTCCTTCTTGAGCAAATCGTTGAGCCAGGAAATGATAAGGTGTTAGTTCTTGATAGATCTAAAACGAAACCCCCGAAACACACCCTGATAAACCAACTACTGCCCACGTTCCCTGCACTAGCAGTCCGCGCTGTGTAGGTTACGTGAAGTAAGAAAGAAGTAGAAAGTAAATGAAAAGATAAAGGGGAATGAAAGTCATTAAAATGAAGGATAACACCAAAGAGTGAAGATAATGACAGAATAAGAACTGAAAGTTTGAAGATGGATTTGGTCAGGAGAAGGGAAAGGTTTCGTGTTGCCACCCAAGAGCGTCTAACTGACGCTCGAAACCCTTAACCGTAGGTTCACTGACTACATTTTCTGGAAGCGAGTTCCAGCGCTCGATAACTCTACGCGATAACCGAGTTTCCGCCCTGATCCCGTCAGAACGCGGCTTGTGTAGCTTCATGGGATGACCGCGAAGACAAGGCAACCTAGCCGGGCTAAACAGCCAGCGCAAGTCCGGCCCAACCTTCCCTGTTAAAATGCGGTAAGTAAGGATTAGGCCTCCTCGAAGCCGTCGGTGGTGCATTGAATACATACCCAAGCTAAGTAGACGCTCGGGGTACGATTGCCCCCGTAACCCCTCGACCAATTTGGTACCTACTCTCAAAACCCTCTCAAGCTCCATTTTGTCCCGAACAAGGCAGGGCGCGCAAGCCTGGACGCAGTATTCCAGATGGGGCCGAACGAAAGCTGAGAATAGCTTCACAAATATGTCGGCAGTTAAGACCCCGAAAGAACGGCGTATTAACCATAACATTCTGAAACCCCTACTAGCGGCCTTCTTCCAGTTGTCACCAGAATGCAAAGACGAGGAATGAACGACACCTAGATCTATCTGGTTGGAGACAAGGGGGAGTTCGACCCCACCGAGTACGTAGCTCGAAGGCGGGAAAGTTGCTCCTATACGAAGGACGGAACACTTAGCCTGATTTATGGGCAGTAGCCACAAAGCAGACCAGTCCCAGAGTCTGTCCAGTGCACGCTGTATGGCCTCAGAACCCCCAGGAACATTTACAACATTCCATAGCTTAAGGTCATCAGCAAACAATAAGGATGATACCCCAAGCTCTCCAGGGAGATCGTTTACGTAGATAGAGAACAGCATCGGTCCAAGGACCGGCATCATCTCAAACGCCTTGCGGAAGCCAAGGAAGAATAATTTAAGCCTTGACCGGCATCTATTTATCATGTCCATTTTCCCTCACCACCAGAAAGTTATTAATGGAAGAGCGTTCCTGCTGAAAGCCGCGCTGCATGGTGCAGGTGATGTTCAGGTAAGAACAGGGCTTCTGTAGGGCGCGTCTGATAATCGTCTTCACGACCTAAGAAATTGTCGATGTCAGGCAGATTGGGTGCTGGTTCGTGGGGTTGAGAAATTTTCCAGCGTTGTGTTTCGGCAATACTATTCCCAGTTGCAAGTCGGCGGGTAGACGCTCAGTATCTGAAGGAGCTGAAAATCTGGCAGATTGGTTTTGCAATGTAATCTGCCACTGTTTGAATAGGGGATACAACGCCTCAGAGTCAGGAGACGAATTGTGATCTAACTAGAGCAACCGTTTTGGTGACAGTTTTCTCGTTGAATTCCATGTCCTCAAGCCGGTTGAGATCGAAAGCACCATGGTTGTTGTGTGGTGGGTTCTCCAGTGCGTAAACGAGTGAGTAATGCCGGGCCATTAACACTGCTTTCTTGCCGTCCGCCTAGTACGGCATCTGTTGTACTGGGTAACAAAGTCATTACGCCACAGTGGACGGTAGTCCTCTAGTTACTATAAGCGTGGAGTTTTTAGGTCTGGACACAGGCTCTTCTGTCAGACCATGCTCATATTGTGACCACTTCTCCCGCTTTGTCGTAGTACATAACTTCCTTAGCCACTGGCAGTTATAATGGTCCAAAGCCACTTTAGTATATTAACATCGGTCCCATACTTGTTCCCGTTGATTCATTAGAAGCCATATTTCCGAATTAATCCACGAAGGACTTCTCGTAGGTGGCATTTTGTTGCGTTTGGGCCGCCTGCTCAATGATCAGGTTAATTTTTGAGCGCATAAGTGTCCAAGCTATATCGAAGTCAAGGTCTTGTGGAGTATTCCAGTCGAACATACCAGCCGTCTTACCTAGGCAGGTAGGATTAGCACGACAGAAGTTTCCGTGGTAAACCCTTCTGTCTTGACTGACAAATCTTAGCATCTACTTAATGAGGCCAGCGCAGGAATAGCGATGACCTATCTTTGGGAGAGCGTCCGATTCAGAGATGTCACAAGGTACAACTTTGACCATCAACGCAAGGATGCTTGGTGGTTGGCCTTAGAGTATTCTGGTTGACGTGGCGACATACTGAGATAGGTTAGCAACAAGGACTGCTCCCAGACGATCAGCACAAAGTGACTGCGGAGAATCCGCAGTGGATAAGATCCCAGTCGATACCGGGGGCATTGAATTAGCTCAATATCAGGCAGTCCCTGCCAACCCTATAGGTTTTGAATGAATCAATATCGCGGCTGCGGTTACCCGACTGGGTGTTGTACACCAAACCGCTGGCAAGGGGTGGATCTGACACTAGAGCATCAGTATGCAGCCGGCAATCATTGTCTCAATGACATGCAGTTTGAGAGTACAGCTCCAGTGCAGTATTACCCGACCCCGGTCCGCGCCCCATTGCGATCTGCCCGTGAGAGTTTAAATCCTGGGATACGTATCTCTCCATCCGATATATCCATGGATAGCCATGTCCGTAGTGCACCGGAAAACATACTCTTTCAGTATCTTGTAACGTTGGATTTTATGGTTGTTTTAACCTTCGAAACGTCCATTTGTTTTACTGACTGCACGTCCGTTGTCACAAGCCGTTTTGGTGAGTACCTCGCTGCACGTTTCTCGCTCTGTCTGATTCGCTTCCTATTCTTGTAGCCTGCACAATATACGTTGGGTTCAGTCGCTTCCGATTTCTATACTGTCGTATTTGACACGTCTTACGTGTCATTGCTTACCGACTAGTATACCAGGCTCCGCCCAAC